AATGACATTCACGACTTGGCTAGAAGTCATATTCAGATTGCCAGCGATCGCATGAAAAATCAATACAACCTCCGCTCGGCCAATGAAACTTTTGAAGCTGGAGATCTGGTATGGCTGCACAATCCACAGAGACGAAGAGGTCTTTCTCCCAAGCTACAAAGACAATGGGAAGGTCCATATGAGGTGATCAAGAAAATAAATGACGTGATATATCGTATCAGAATGAACCACCGGAAACCGAAAGTTGTCCACATTAATCGACTCGCACGATATGCCGGATCCAACAACCACGAAGAAGTTAGAGGTATTCGAGAAGAGGAACGCAGCTTTGGGACCGAGCCAAACTTTAACGATTTTATGTCAAATTACGCCCAGCGGAAGAAAGCTCGATTTGGCGTTACTCAGGAAATTTGTCAAAATATTTTTGAGCTTCCGGTTAACGTTTCCATCGCCCATTGTGTCGCCGAAGACCTTCGCATGGGTAGAGGTATAGCTTCCGTATTCCGGAAAAGATTTGGAAGAATAGACGAGTTGATAAAGCAAAGACCACGAGTGGGTAAAGTACTGCGCTTGGAAGATAGTCAACGCTCTTTGTTCTACTTGGTTTCAAAGAAAACGTCAGAAGGCAAACCCACCTATGAAAACCTCTGGTCTGCTTTAAAAAAACTTAAAGAAACTCATGGCATACTATGACATAAATAGCTTGGCGATCCCGAAGATTGGATGTGGTTTAGATGGGTTGGACTGGAAGATAGTGCGAACCATGATCGAAGTGATTTTTAGAAACACTAGCGTTCGAATTACAGTATGCTGTTTCAACCCACAGGGGACGACCCTCCGCAAAACTGTGGACTGTTACTTTTTCAAGAAAGGTGTTTGTCGAGCAGGCTCTGACTGCAGATTCCGACACGAGGCATTAAAAAGTAATACTAACGCAGTTTCTGAACGAGACGTCCAGAATTAAGAAGGGGGCAGTGTAACGGAAATGCTGCAGACATGACGTCGCCTTTGGCGTTCTGGAATTTTCTACGCGTATTCGAGAATGTACTGGACTTACATTGCTTGCGTGTATAAAGGGTTGCGGACCGAACATCGCGGCAGTCTACTATCGAACGAGATCGAGCACGGAAATATAAATTGCGAAGTGTGTGTGATATAATAATCGATATAAATTGTACGGTTTTTATAGTGTATTAGTTTTTGTTTAATAAATATTGATATAAATCGAACCCGAATTTTATAAATAACGTTACAATATTTAATAAAGTACGCCGTACTGACGATTGCTTAACACTACAGAATGATTTGAATATCTTGCAATCCTGATGTCAAAAGAATAAACTTTTTTTGAACATTAATAAATGTAAAGTGATGACTTTGTCTAGAAAACTTGTTGAGCGTCCTTTCGTTTATACAATTGAATGACATACCTTTAATTAGCGTCAACACCACTTGTGATCTTGGAATCTTTTTTGACAAGAGATTAACTTTTTCCGTGCACATAATGCACGTAATTTATTTCAAATATGAATTTATTACCTAATTCAGTATTACAAGTCACAAAAATAAATTTATAAAACAGCATTAATTTTCAATTTCAGATTGATTGTTGCTCGGCTTCGGTTAGGATAGAAATTTATGTTCTTCGTTTATGTCGACCACCATTTCAATCAGCAGCTGTGCGTAGGCAGATTTTTATTACGGTGGAGACACCATGGTGGGTGGCATTTTTTGTAAGAGGGTTTCTTCTTAAAACAACTAAAATAAAATTGAAGTGTAAGAAGTGTGCAGTTCCAAAATTAACATACAAAAATCAATTTCGTAATGGTTTTGTACCGTTATAAGGAAAATTTATTGGACCTGACCAATTACACTATAGTGACAGTTGATGGCTTATTATACGTGTCAATATGCGTCTGACAATGTCATTGACACCCTCACACAACAGTCAATAAAGAAGAAACCTGAAAAAACACTTAAATAAGACCAAGAGAAGTTTGTAGTAAACATCACTGATTACTACACTTGATGAAAATGGTTGGTATACCTCACAATGGGTTAGCTCGATTAGGAATGGTAAATACGCGAAATCTCCCCACGCATCCAAAATTTAATGACAGTTAAAGTTGACAGGTAGTACTGATGAAAAAACACGACATGTTTCGGAACGCACCTCGTTCCATTATCAAGTGTTACATAAAATTATCATTACATAAGTAATTGCTAAAAAACATTAAAATTAGACCTAACTCAAACATAAGTAAAACTTACCCAGAGGAAAAACAGATTAAAATTAAGTTGACGACACGTTTAACTTCCAAACATATTAATTAAGGTTGTTGTGTCTGAAGGACGACAAACAATCCTTTTTACATAATTTTGATTAAAAGGGGGGGGGGGCCCAAAGCGGACCACAGCTTAACAGGAAGAAACGTCTAACAACCTGGTGTTTTTTTTGTAAGACGGGTTATGTGAAAGTTTGAAAATTACACTAGAAAAGGCGGCAGTACCAACTTAAATACCAACTAAGATAAACAAATACCTAGATCTAACAATTCTTAAATTTCGTACACAACAAATCCGGAGGGAAGTCTATGATTTCATTGAGTAAACCAGGGTCGTTCTTGTACTTAAATCTGCGTAATTTTGACTATGGAATCGAGTATTTAGATCGCTTAAAGTTCAAGGTTATAAGGTGTTTTGATGCGAACATAGTAAATGACTCATTTGGTGTCCGCTGTAACATAAATGAGTGTCGATTGTAACATGTTACAACCGACACCATCGTAAAATCTTACACGAATTTTTATCAATTTTATTGTTTTAAGCGATTTGGAAACATGAAACCGAGGCAAAGAAAAACTAATAGAGGTAATGTTCCCCAAGAAGTTTATGCATCAGAAGCTGCAAATAAAGTTATAAATGACAATATATCCGTAAGAGCTGCATCAAGGCAATATGACATTTGTCACGCTTCCCTACATCGTTACGTTAAATCTTTAAGAAATAATACGCAGCCGCACGTTGGGTACTCGGCCCATAACAAGGTGTTTTCTGTACATCAGGAAGAAAAATTAGGCAGGTACGTGCAAAATGCAGCCAATTTGTATTTTGGTTAGTGCTCGTTTATTAAGAGGGGCGTTCGTTTCCTTGTTTCAAGACCTTCGCGGAGACGAAAAGAAATTTTTTAATTATTTCAGAATGAGTACGTCATCATTTGATGAACTGGAAGGAAAGCTTCATGACAGCATAAAAAGCCAAGATACTAGATGTAGACTGTCAATACCTCCGATTGAAATGTTAGCTGTTACTCTCAGGTAAGCATTACCTAAATAATAATTGTAAAATAAGTCATGTTTATATTAATGAAATGTTTAATATAATTAATATAATTTAATGACCAAGTGAAAATTGTTAAATAAAAGTAATTCTTAGCATGTTTTGAAAATTGAACATAAGATTGTCATAAGTCAAATTACCGTGGGTAGTCAAGTCATTACTGAATACGTCCATGGAGTCTCCACAATTTGAGGATATTGAAGAACTTCCATAAGGGGAAAGCATACCCTCACCTGACGAAAAATTTGATTGATGGATGTGATGCCCTGTAGTGGGAAATGTATTTATATATGTAGAAGGGTATGTTGTACCTGCTGCGTTAAATTGGCCTGTTTGGGGGTAGGACGAAATGGCCGAAGCATTTGTCACTTGACTCTTGAGATTCTGCAGAGGGAATCGGTGCTATAGGGACCTGAACGACCGGATTACCAAAATGTAAAGTATTTTCATGGGCTCCACTCTTAATGGCTCTGTACCGACTTATCAGTTTCATGACTTCGCATCTGAATTCTAGCTTGTGGTCCAGAGCCAAAGTTTTACTGCAGGAATGATGGAATTAAAAAATGACTTATCTTCATCCGGTAGTTGTTGTTCTGTAGGAGTTGGCGCCTGAACTTGTGGTTTATTCATGAAATTTAATAGTGATCTTTCTATGATCCGTCGCCGTTTAGATGCTGGTATTTTTTCAAAGTTACGTGAAGGATCATCGGGCGTCTGATCAATAAAATTATCAGAATTGTTGTTTTGCATAGATGTGTTACCAATATTGTGATCTTCAGTTTCTCCCTCGTTCTCGCCGCTGTTTTCTGTAGGTACCGGTTCTGTCGTTGTTTTAAGAAAAGACCGCTGTCGTGCATACAGATAACGTCTTCCTGACCCCCCTCCCTGTCCTGATTTATCTTTCTTTCTTTCAGTTTTCTTGTAGTTGTGTAGGATATTCTTCCACCGCTTCATTAGTTTTTTCCCTCAAACAGACACAAATAATAATGAATAAAATGAAGAGATATACAAATGACAGTCACAGTTTTATTTTCAGATACTTGGGCAGTGGATGCACAATGATTAACCTTCATTATCAGTATAGACTTGGACACTCAACTATATGCAAAATTGTCAGAAAAGTTTGTGAGGCAGTGTGGAAAGTCTTAGTGAAAGAGTGTATACCGGAATTTTCGGAGCAAAGATAATAATAATAATAATAATGTATAGCGTTGGCTATTGTGCCCATCAATAGGTATGTTGGTAAGTACGAATTACATACTATCCCCAGATGTCCAATGTAGGTGTGTGATTTTAATTTTTTGTTTTTTTTTTTACATACATAACTTCACCAGACACAGACACTAATCGTTACTTGATTTTAATCCGTGCGATTAGTTAACCAGGCTAGACCTGAGTTCTCACAAGAAACACCGACAATAATAATAATATTTAATTGCCCAACAGAACAAAAATTATTCCAATTATAGGACAATATTATGTAATACTACAGACGGCACATCAAAATAACATAAATTAAGCTACCAATACATATATATATATATATATATATATATATATATATATATAAATTGATTCAAAACCCATTAAAATCAACAATCATATTTAATACAATTATAACTAAGAGTATCTAATGCAAAATAAATGGATCAATGCAACTTAGTAAGTTGTTTAAAGCAGAACTGAAAATATCCTTATTTCCGCAAAATTTATTATATATTCTAGATGAATTAAAAATCGGCGACATAAATAACACATTAGTTCTTGGTAGTGGGAGATGAAATGGTAAACTATTGCGAGAATGGTAAGGCGGTACAAAAAAGTTAATTTGGTACAGTAAGTCAGGAGCATCAGTCCTGTCATGCAGGATGTTAAATAGAAATGCTATGTTACATTTTAACCTTCTAGCCTCTAAACTAGCGACATGAAACTGGTTTAACAATGCAATACGGGAAAGATGGTTGGAAACTGCTCAGGGATTTCAAAAGGAGACAAATTTCCCAAATTGCTTAGAGGCGTTAGACGGGAAGCATGTGCGTATTGTGAAACCGAACTTTGCTGGATCCCAGTTTTTCAACTACAAAAAATTTCACTCGGTAGTGCTGTTTGTTGTTGCCGATGCATACTACCGGTTCAGTTATATTGAGGTGGGATCTTGTGGACGAGAATCAGATAGCACCATATTTGAAAAGTCCAAATTAAACACTATGTTGGAAAACACTGAAGCTTACATTCCCAACGAATCACCACTACCTGGTACCGAGGGGCCAGTAATGCGGAATGCCTTACACTGTGTTGAGTGTTCTGGCAGTGTAGTTGAAATGCTTCACATGTCCAACACTCCTCATGCCCCAAATTGGCAAATGATATATTCATTTCGGCGACTTGCTTACGGTACAGTTCGTAAGATATATTAATAGCAGGATACTTTTCTTTACAATCTTCGTGCATTAATGTAATACTCAAGTCACTGGGAAGATACTTCCGGCGAGGCGCATGTGCCCTTCTATAATGCGAAATAGTAGGAAAAAACGTATTAATATGTTCTATAATGACATCTCTATCCACTTTTTTGAGGATGGATGTCCCAGTTTAATAGGATGAGGTGTTAACTGTGAAGAATCATTATTTCTTATAATATCTCTGATCCGTCTGTCATTTTGTAGTGTATAGCCAAACGTACCGAGAAAGAATTTTTTACAAACTTTAACGTCCATCCCTTTTTCGTCCTTTAGAAAATAAAGTATTGTATTGTTTCTTCTGGAATTTTCAGACGTTTTCCTCTTAGAGATCACCTTTTTTGCTGCGCTAAAAATAAACTGTCTTTGCGCCTCGTCTTTTAAGCCCCAAAATTCGTGGTTTATGTTACTCTGCCGTTCATAGGTAATTTTATCTGCACATTTAAGTTTGCATTCACACGAAGGGTTTTCTACCACATGATGGTTTTCTTGTTTTTTAATTTCTTTTATTTTTTTTCGTTCGACTAATGAAACTTCATATCTTTTACGTTTTCTCGGTTCACCTTTTTTAGTGTACATTTGTACCCAGCTAACACACTGACGTTTCATTGACGTTGACATTGGGTCATCTTTATGCCGAGTACGTCAGTATGCCCAATAGATGCCGTCATTGAAACGTTATGAAAATGATCATTAAATGACGATACTGTAATGACATATATTTGACGTCAATTAATCGTCAGTGCCACAGACGTACAAATGAATTATTTTATTAAACTTCCAAACAAATCTACTTTTGTATGATACTTTCGAAAAATGTTTATTGAGTCGTTTTTCCACGATTTATAAAAATGAAAATATTATTTTAAAAGGTTGCGGAAAACGCGGGACATGATCGATTTGATTCGAGTTTCTTCGTTTTCCCTCGCCATTCTGATGTAAATGACCGTGACCGTGTAGAGAACGCCGTCGTTGATATGACAGACCTGAGACCGCCATTAACTTAAATTATAGTTAAATTATTTGATGAATATTTGAGAAGTGTTGACAGATACATTTACCGTGTATTGAGCAACAAATACATCGGTTAATTAGAAGTAGTTGGTGAATAAAACAGACGTACCACCATTACAAAACAATAACCTAACCTGTAAATGTGAGTATGCATGTTCGCGCCAATTTCTCTTGCCTTGCAATAACGTGGTTTTGGATTCTTAGGTAAGTGTAAAGAGTTATTACAAAAGTAGTAACTAATGTTTAAATTTTTTAGATTTTTGGAAATGTCCTTTGTAGGTGTAGAATTCCACGAGGGTGAGGGAGTAGCTGTAGTTTCAAGCACTTGGCTCACTCCACAAAAAAATAATGTATTTTGGCCCCCTTATAAGCTTCAAAGCTGTAAAAAAAGGCGAAAGACCATCCACTGAAAATAATTGGAAGTTATTCGGCATTGCACGTACATTCTTTGAATGTGGTACGCTGTCCCTACAATTATGCATATGACCTTTCTAATAGAGTATGGTTTTTAGATGATTATAATGAAGCAGTGAACAAGATCGAGCAAGCCCAATATACTTCTGACATTTGTACAGAAATCGAAGAGGAGTTACCTCCAGAATTACCCCCCAAAAGAATAAAAAAAAGTACGAAAAGACTTTCGTTCTCGTCTGATGAGGAAGTTCGTTCAAAGAAAACAAAATTGTCATTAGTAAGGCCCGCCCAAATACCAGCTAGTATTAGAGGTATGTGTGAATACAGTCACGACGGGAATACCTATTACGGTCCATTCAACCGTCTCATATATATGCTATGATGTGCAAACAACCTGCACAGGTAAACAGTAACGTGTATAATTGGCCAGCACTAACTCATCAATGTAGCTGTAAGTAATATTAATTATTGTTTCTTTTTTTAGATACGTTTGGTAATTGTCAACGGAGCTCAACACCAAATCTTGGCAATTGTAAGCATTTTGTTAAGGTATACAATAATTTGTTTAATTTTGTGTAATTGTTAGACACACACATAGTTTCGGCATCCTCTACACTTACCAACCGAAATTCAACTAATACACCAATCCAAAGTTTGCAAAACAGTACACCACCAGATCGTAGCAGTTGTAAGTATTTTGTCTCGTATTTTGTAGAATTATAAAAATTTAGTTTACTTTTGTGTAATTTTAGATATACATTCAGATGCTGCCTCTTCTACACCTACCATACGAAATTCTGTAACACACACTCCAACCGTACATAATCAGTGTGATGGTATATGATACTTCTTATTTATAATTATTTTCCTAAATTAATAATTGCAGCTTTCCAAAAGCGAATAATTACATTATTAGTTCAACTCAAAGATCAGAACAACCAAATCATAAATTTCTTAAAAGAAAACTGTACTGGCAATTCGACTTCCACAACATACTCATATCAACGACCAGACAACCTGCCCTTTCAATTACCTTCAACATCTGTTAATGATGTACTTGAATTGGATAACTATCTCAGGGATAAAGATAATTTTAATGGCATGGTGAGTACAAAATGATTTGATATTTGTTTACCACCTTCAAATTTTGTTTTATTATAGATTCGTTACTTGTCTACACTTGGGGGGAATGGTGTTGTAGGGAAAACTAACCGAATTTTGAAAGAATTATTAACGGATCAAGTAGCAATTCATTTTAACTATTTTGGTAAAAAGAACAAACACCCATTTAATGACCTAAAAAATACAAAAAGTGCATTAATTAATAGTGTAATGATCACTAGTGATGGTGCAAACGAGAAGACAATTCAAGATTCGATTAAAGTCTGGTTAAAACATGCCCCACAAAGGAACAAGAACAAATCACAAGGGCAAGTTACTGTAGATTAGACCATGCATGTATTCATTTTCTTAGCAGATAAGTCATTTTAGTAGTTATTACTTAAATATGTACAAAAAAGTAAATGTTAAGACTACTGTAGGTTGGCGGCAAGCATGCAGAAGAATACGAAATAGTGTTAATGACATTTTAGAAAAAATAGAAACAGGCATAAATGAACCTGCTCAAGAACAATCTTTTTCTGCCAATAATTCTCATAATACAAATAATTTTGATAGTGTAAATGATCTACAAAATAATGTAACTGAAAATGCTGAGGTTTTTCATCATTCCCAATCAGAATTAAGTATTGATGGTGTTGAATTTGTCCCTGATAATGTTATAGATTATTTATATTCGTCTGATTAAGATGAAAATAACATTTTTCATGATATTCCACCTCTGAGTAATTGTATTGATAATGACCAATCAAGTGTCAATTCTCACCAACATTTAACCGACCAATTAAGGCAATGGGCATCATCAAACTTACAAGTTCCCCAATCATCTGTAACTGCGTTATTGCACATTTTACAACAATACCACCCATACTTACCTTTGGACTGTCGAACTCTGTTACGTACACCTACTGTTACAGTATGTAAGAAATTATCTAATGGAGAGTACTTTCATTTTGGCATTGAAAGTACTTTGAGAAATGTTTTAATTAACAATCCCAGTTATACTGATCCTACTTTTAAATTAAGTTTCAATATTGACGGTCTCCCACTTTTTAATAGTTCATCTAAACACTTTTGGCCGATATTAGGGTTAATTAAAAATGTACCACATTGTGAACCTTTTCCAATTGGGATTTTTTATGGTACGGGGAAACCAATCCCGTTAATCTTATTTTTGGAAGATTTTATAAGCGAATTAAATAAGTTAAGTAATCAGGGTTTTATTTATGCTAGCACAACATACTTTGTTTCGGTTTACAATTTCATTTGTGATGCCCCTGCACGGTCATATATTAAATGCACTAAAGGCCATGCAGGATATGCCAGTTGTGACAAATGCACAGTGTACGGAGATTATTACAATGGACGTGTCATACTAAATGAACTGAATGCTTCACTAAGAACCGATTTATCTTTTTTACAACAGATAGACGAAGACCATCATTCTGGTACATCTCCTCTAAGTGTGTTAAATGTAGGCTTTGTAACACAGTTTCCAATAGACTACATGCACGCTGTATGCCTTGGCGTTATGAAAAAACTTTTAAATGCGTGGGTTGGCGGAGATCTTATAATTAAGTTATCAAGTCACCTCGTAAATACTATTTCTTTAAAATTATTTGATTTACAATTTGCAATACCAATAGAATTTAATCGTAAATGTCGTTCTATGTCAGAATTGGCTCGATGGAAAGCTACGGAATATAGATTATTTTTATTTTATATAGGACCACTTGCTTTGAAAGACGTGCTTGATATTGCTTTATATGAGCACTTTCTGCTTTTACATAGTGCTCTTACAATTCTTTCATCAGAATATCATTTAGAAAACTGTGATGCTGCCAATAACTTTTTACATTTGTTTATTTCTCATTCAGAAAAACTGTATGGAAGAGAGTTTTTAATCTATAATGTACATCTTCTTAGTCATTTATCATCGGATGTGAAATTATATGGGCCTGTTGACAATTTTTCAGCCTTTCCCTATGAAAATTATTTGGGTTGGTTAAAAAAACTTTTAAGAGGTTCTAGATTACCGCTTCAACAGGTAGCTAGGCGAATAATAGAACGAACCCGTAATGTATCATTAACGTTTAAATCACGTGAAAACCTACTTTCACTACAGCACTGTTTAGGTCCATTGGTAGATCTGGTTGAATGTGAGCAATTTAAAAAATTTTATTGGGCAGAAAAAGATTGTATTTTTACCAGTCATCTGCATTCTGTTAAAGATTCGTACTGCATGTCCTATGATAAAGTAGTGATTCAAATTCACAATGTTATTAAAATCGATAACGAAATATTTTTAATAGGAAAACACTTTTGCTCATATAGTTCTTTTTATACTTATCCAGTAAAATCATCTAACTTTGGAATATACCTTATTGATAATTTATCTGTTGAGTTAAGTAAGTGGCCTTTAAGATTAATTAGAACCAAATGTTTAGTTTTACCTTTACCGGAAAAGTATGTATCATTTCCTATGTCACATACAAATTTGTAATGTTTGTTTTTTTTTTGTAAAAATACCTACCTTATTTGCAAAATAAATGAATTGAGTTTTCATTGGAGTATTTTTTACCCTGTAAGTAACGTAAATAAGACGCCTTTAAAAAACGTCAAAAATACGTCTAGGATATTTACACTGTGACGTGAAAAGTACGCGTGTGTATAAACGTCCGAATAGACGTTATTCATGATACGTCATTGACACCTGTCACATTTCCGTTATTTTGACGTGATTGTTGACGTCAACAATGCCGTAATAATGACGATAATTGTGGCGTGTTTTTGACGTTATTATGACGGCATGCTGTTAGCTGGGTAACGAGTGGTTTTTATTGTTCATTTTATAAATGATGCCACATTTCTGCTTTTGTTGGATTCCCGCAGTGGGATTACAATATGGGGACTAATAATTGCATTACATTAAATTAAATAATTACATTGCACGTAATATTAGGTTTATCGGCGCCGATGAACCTCGGTGATTCGTTGGGCGGCGCGGCCGTTTGGTTGGGTCCTCGGGGGTTATGGCTGCTCCGGCCTTCGCTTCCATACGGCAGCCATAAAATTCCGATGCAGCGTGCTTCCCCACTTCAGGCAGGAATGCACGCAACTGGCGCGCAAAGATGGCGTTATGCGCAAGGTGTCGGCCGTTTCGGTGTTGCATCTCGGCCATATGCCCCTCGCACCCAGGATGAGCGGCAGAAAACGAAGCCTCTCGCCCGACCACCTCCGCTCGGCAGCCTCCCGGAACCTAGGATTGTCGTAGACCACTCGCTTGGCCTCCCACGACTCCGCCAAGGAGCGGTCCGTGCCCTCCCAGCAGACTTGGACGTCTGCCACGACGATGTTATGGCCCGGCATATGGATAACCAGGTCCGGCTTGTAAAGCTGCCGATCGGGGTGGCAGACTCGGGGCTCCACCTCTACCACCCACCCATTCCGCCTCGAGTGCCGCGCCACCTTCTTTACGACTTCGTCGTGCCTTTTGATGCGGTCGAAATGGGTTACGTGGCACCTCTGCACCACGTGGGATAAACTCTCTATTCGACCACATCCTCCCCTGCAGCGCCGTTCCCCCTCGGGGATGTGAGGGAGACCTTTTGTGGGGAGATTGGATGTTCGCAACTGGACGGCACGTACGAAGTCTCGTCCGCTCCAACCCGTGGGGGGGGAAGTTGATCCACGATCTTGAAGAGGCATCATGAGCCGCTTCCTCCAGTCCCGCGCTGAAAGGCCGCGACGCTACTTCCTCGCGCCAGAAGGCGTCGGGCGGGCCCTTGACCAGATGTTCGGTTCTTTCCAGCAAGTCTCTGGCGGGACCGGGGCTCTCCAGTATGGCCGACGTCAAGGGGTCGTTGAGGCGCTGAAGAGTTGCGAACCTCTTCGCCAGAACCCATGGTATAAGGCGTCTTAATTCGGGAACTCCAAGACCTCCATCCCTGCTGCCGGCGTGCAAAAGTTGGTTCCCGGTCTTAGAACTTAGGTGGAGCATCTTCTTTGTCGATCTTCGGATCATCCGGTCCGCCTCGGTAAGGAGTGCCGCTGTCGTCCTAGGGTTCTGCAGTCCGTATACCATCCTGGGAACCAGGTACGTCCGCAGAATCCCATACTTTTGGTGGGGCTTCAGTGGAGCCCTCTCCAGGTTGCTGAGCCACGATGACAGGTTGAACAAATTAGGCTTCTGTGTCCCCGCTGCGGAATACCGGTGGCCTAGGTACTTGAAGGTATTGATCGTACCTAGAGATGGAATAGGCTGGCCGGCAATCGTGAAGACAGGCTTGGTTCGGGGGACGGAGGTGCCGCGCACACGCACTGCGCTGATGGAGGTGCACTTTTTCGGGTTGATTTGCATTCCTCTGGCCTGGAGGAATGTTTCCGTCTCGTGCAGTGCGCGTGGCATATCCAAGTCCCTGTCTTCTAGGAGGACTAGGTCGTTATTTTCCGAATTAGTGGCGTCAGTTGCAGTATCTATTTTTCTTGTATTGCCATCGATCATGGATTAGTCTAACAACTCGTCCGTATTCTCGTCATTGACGACATCATTTTCAAAATCGCTATTGTTTGATTCACACGATGATAAGTCACTATGATGTGGAACATAATCGTTATCAACTTCAGTGTTCTGAATTTTTGTTGTTGTCGTGGTAGTACGATATTCACTAATTCTGTCGGCTAAATCACTGTTAAGCGCTAGAGTCACTAATTTTTTTGCCCTCGATTCCATTTCTACAATTACGGCAACGCGGTAATGTAGCACAGACACAAACTTTAAAAACGTTGTTAAATGTGAATCACGATTAACAGAACAAACAAAATAATGTTCAAACCTCCACACGAAACAGCATTGGAACCGTCAGTAGCCGCTTTAAGAGGAACTATTATATTATTGCATAACTCTTTAAAACATGTACTCGTGTTTAATGACATTATTTTTAGGTTAAGTTGCACACATTACATCGGGGTTTAGTCGTATCTACAACAAGGTTTTGGCGCCAAATGAGTTCCACTACATCAAAAAGTCGTATCTGCCTGTATTTGCGCAGATACGACGTTTCAGCTTAAGTTAAGGCGAATTTACACGAGGACAGTAACTAAAGCAAGTGACTAAAGCAAGTTACTTAATTTAGCGACTGGCTGCGTGTAAACGTCCGATTTAGTACTTGAGACAGTAGGAAATTTAGTGGAAATTTTAGTCCAGTAGATAGAAGAGTATTCTATTTACTAAAGCCAGTAGGTACTCCCACCACATCATTTCTTTACTAAATCATGCACTTAGCACATGTAAACAGCTTTTCTTTAGTAACAAGTCATTGTTGAAATTGAAATTACGTATATATTTACAAAATGTCCACTTTGGCACGTTGGAACGAAGATACTACATTAAAATTCGTGCAGGAGTACAGGGTTAGAGAATGCTTGTGGAATACAAAGGCGGTAATATATAAAAATAGAAATGCTCGCGAAGCAGCATTCCGAGAACTTGAAGAGGTAATGGGAATAGAGGGTTTCGGTGTTAGCGAAATCAAAAACAAAATAAAGGCTTTGCGATCTACATATTCCCAAGAATTTAAAAAAATCAAAGATTCTAAGAAATCGGGAACTAGTGCAGACAGCGTGTATACACCTCACGTAAAGTGGTTCCAAGAAATGCACGCATTTCTACATTGTCTGGATAATAAAAGACCTACGCAAGATAATTTAGCGGTAAGTACATTTCTATACATAATTACAGTATTTTATAAGTGTTAACATATGTTCGTCAATACATATCTATTAATATTCAATATATCATCCGTTCTTGCCACGGAACAGCACCTTCTCCCACAAAATAATCACACAGCATGTCTCTTATCTGTCGTGCATATCTAGAAGAATGATTGCTTGTGCCTCCGGAGGTGGATCGAGGGATATTGGTAATATCATTTCTCCACGACCCTTGTGTAATGCAACCATTGTCGATATCCTCCTCGTCTATAGATCCCCTGGGCATATAATTGCTTGCAGACGTTATTCTTAACCAGTTATGGAGCGCACAACAAGTTCTAATGATTTTGTCTACAGTTGATGGTAAACATGACATGGGTTTTTCAAACACTCGAAATCTGCTCACAAGGATACCAAATGCATTTTCAACTATACGCCGCGCTCTAGACAGACGATAGTTAAAAATTTTTTGACCTTTGGTAAGCGATATCCGTGAATACGGTTTCATGAGATATTTTTTTAAAGGGAAAGCATCGTCTCCCACTATAAACCCATCGGCTGGCAATAAATCATTTTCCAAAGCGTCGTATAATAATGAATTGAGAAAAACCCCTCCATCTGATTGTCTTCCATTACATCCAATATTGATGTAGGTGAAACAATAATTGTAATCCACAACGGCCATCATAATAATGCTGTTAGTTCCCTTGTAATTAAAATAGTCGCTACCACAGTTAGCTGGTGCCCGTATATTGAAATGTTTCCCATCGATTGCCCCATAGCATCGTGGAAAATTCCATCGTTGACGAAAACCATTTTCAATTATTTGCCATTGTGTGTGGTTTTCTGGTACCTAGAAAAAAAATTATCCAACAATATTCTACGTAATCTCTTATTAATTTTATTAATTGCGTTATGGTTTTAAGATTGCAACTTCAACGCCAAATGAGACCTCGGACGCTAGTGATCAGGATTCTCCTTCCGGAAATGCTCAAGATGGGGAAGCAAAAATAATGGCAAGTGGATGCCAGAGTCACCCACAAAGCATCGCTGCTTTTGAACTTCCAAAAAGTAAAAAAAGGAAATCTAATATAGAACAAGTTTCTTCAGCAATTCATGATCTGAAAAAAATTGCAAAAGATGTGAATAAAGAACCTCTGGTGGAAAACGAATTTCTGGTTTTTGGTAAATGTGTAGCAGCACAGTTAATGAAATTAAGCACAGCTAGTGCTTTATTGGCCCAAGAAAAAATTCAATCAGTTCTAACACATTTTAGAATCCAAGAACTTGAAAAAATGTCTGGCACACCTTTGCGTCCTGTTCAATCACTTCATAGTTCTTTGTCTACAACGCCGATAGCATCACCATCGCCTTCATATTCAGACACGCATGAATTCCAACCATCAACATCATTTTCTTCACATCAATTTGGAGAACCAGGCAAAGATCATAATACAATGATCTTTGAACCAGGTATTAATAGTTACAGTGATATTGTGGCACAGGCGATATCAGCTATTCAGTATAATCCCTAACTTTTTGTACCTTCATACACATATCATATTGTACATCGTATTGTATCATACATACTTGTAACAATAAAAATATAAAATAATACTTACCTTAATGTATTCCTTCAGTGCGACATATATTGCGTCACATACTTTGGGAATAAATTTTGAAATGGCTGGTCGGGAAACTCGAAACTGCCTTTGTAAAGTTCTAAAACTATTTCCGGTTGCTAAATACGTCAATGTGATTTCTAGCTTTATCTTTGCCGGAATTGCATCTCTCATAATTGTATCACATGTTGTGATAAAAGGACTAATCTTGGCTAACAATATGTCAAATGCTTCCTTAGACATTCTCATGCAATTTCGGTATTCTCCTAAACCTTCCTCAGATAATTCTTTCAGCAGCATAGAAGAAAATCCATGGGTGCTTCGACGAGCTATCCATTTCCTAACCCACATACGCCTTTTTTTGTTTTGTTCGCGTCTTATTAGATCAATAATTTCGTCACATAGTACTATAATGCACTGGTTTACTGCGACACGAAGACCTACACTTTCAGTTGCTGCCATTTTAAATTAGTTACTAAATGAAATGTGACCTAAACTAGTGTAGACAAATACTAAATGCGTATGTGCTAAAAATTAGTAACTTGCTTTAGTCACTTGCTTTAGTTACTGTCCCCGTGTAAATTCGCCTTTAATGTCAGATACGACCAAATACGACTTTTAGTATTAGGAAGTGATACAGATAATGCAGATACGACAAAAGTTTTTAGTGAATTATACCGTACTTGTTATGATGATACGACTTTTGAACTTACCAGACGATAATATATGCCGGCAGCTATTGCACAATGCATTTCACTCAAAATCGATATTTTTGCAGATCCGACGTTTTGTCTTAGGAGGGCAGAATCAGTGGTGTAGTCCTATTAAAAAAAGTGGGTATACCCTGACAATCTCTCGAGGCGGCATTATATACTTACGTTTTATGTTAAGTTAGGTAATAATAACTTAAATTTTCTATTATTTATTTGTTAAAAGCTATTTTATTAGACGTAACAATAATTTTTCGCCTTTATCCTTTAGGCTTTACGTTTACACCAACTTCCACAAGTGCGTCAACGGATTTTCTTCATTAACTTTTTTTGTGCGAACCTTACGCGACTTATTGGGCCGTATGAATAAAAATAAGCAAATGCTTATACTTACAAAATTCAACGTAAATACTCGTAAGTGTCCCTTTATACTGGTTTGTTTAGCAGCGCTGCACTGCGTCCTGTCCTTCTGCTTAGCAGCGCTGCTAAGTCGCCTAGTGCGAAGGAGCACTTACGAGTATTTACTTTGAATTTTTCAAGTATAAGCATTTGCTTACTTTTATTCATACGGGCCATTGTCATTTGCACTTCTATGCTTGTGCAATCAAGAAGTGACATAGTGCTGTGGATTGAATGCATTTAAAGGTGGGCCATTATTTTTTAGCATAATTAAATTGGCAATGTTTTGGATTAATAATGTTGATCTTAACTTGGTCGCTATGATATTCATTGCTGAAAACCCTCTTTCACATTCTGCTGTACTGCAAGGGAATGTTTTTACCAGTTTTTGCAACTCTTGCAAATCATCTGGAAAAATATTCGAGTCAATATATTTTCGCATGCCATTAATTGCTTTGGATTGGTCCAAGTTAAATCGTGTACATAAGTTCTTGATTTCCTTCTCACCATATCGAATTGATGGGTTGGATGGCCACGATGTCTTGTCGAGTACCTGCAGATCCATTAACAAAGAAGTGTTACCATTTTCATTAGTTAGCCGTGATTTGATGTTATTTATCAAAGTTTGTAAAAACTGATTGGCATTGATTTCTTGAACTTTGCTTGACTTCAGCTGCACGTTCTTAAACTTGGCACTAGCAACCGCATCTAAAATTTCTGATAATTTGTCTCCTGGTTCGGTTTTAAATGATTCCAAAACTCTAATGGTGCGTCGCACATGTTCGTCTGCTTTTTTTAAGGAAACATCTCGCCTTTGCAGTTCCAAGGATAAGGTGGCCAGTTCCTTCAAACAGTCGTACATGATAGCCAAACTTTTTAGAAATTGAAAACTGCCTAATTTCTCAGCAAGGCCTTTAAACTTTTGCCTTGTGCGCCCGTCACGAGCTGCATCTTCACCAGCATTGCAGAAATGCACATAAAGAGCAGAGAAATTATTTAAAATAGCGGAAACGGTCCTTTAACTGCTTGCTACCCAACGAACGTCAAACACTTTCCCAATTTTAAGAAGCTGGACATCTAGTTCAGCTGCAGCTTCCCTTAATTCTTCCTGATTTTTATTTGACTGGCTGTATAATGAATAAAGACAATCTAATAATGACTGAAAATGGTTTGTTGCAGTAATACTTTTTAGAGCATCTCCCACTGCCATTTCCAACCTATGACTCATACAATGCCAACACAAAATAGCTGGAAATTTACAAGTAACACGTGCAGCGACTCCAGACTTTTTTCCTGTCATAACGCTTGCACCATCGGACACAAAAGATACCCAGTTTTGTAACAAATATTCATTAGAAAACCCATATTTGGTTAGAGTTTGTATCAATGATTCCATTATGTGATCAGCAGTTTGACTTTTTAGTTCCACTAAATCCAGAAATAGAAAGATTGGCTCAGAAAATAATACGAAAGATACATATATAATAAGCACACTTCTACGTCCGAGGGTAGACGATTCGTCTACAAGTACTGATAATTTGGCGTTACTGGCGATTACATGTGAAATCATTTTGTTTTTCATTTCGCTTGCTATATGGTCTACAATCTGTACAGCACTGTAGCATGAATGCAGAATTAGCCCTAAATTTATTCCGTTCAGCTGCTGAAGTTCAACTAATCCTTCGTGATCGCTAAATGGGCGGTCGGATTTAGCCAGATAGTAGACTGTCCGAAAAATCTTTGCAGTAGCATCGTTTGCTTCTTCACTTTCCTTCCGTAGAAGTTCTTCGACCACATGTTTTTCGGACTGTTTTTTAATCTCTTGTGCCATTTGATGGTGCTACGGGGGTTCCTTCTGGACTTGAAAATTACCATCGGTTCCGCCCGGCAAGGCAAACCGTCTTCTTCTTAGGCTGCTCAATCGATAAAAATAAATGCTCCGGCTAACTCAAATCGGTGGGCTTTTAACTCTTTTGAAACTGCGTAACAACCTTAACCTGCCGCCTACCAGTCTCCTGCCTCAACTCCTACTCCTCCCTTTCCTTCCCCTCGTTCTTCGTTAAAGACAGGCACATTGAAACCAAATAGATAATATATTGAAATGAGATTAGCGATACAAACAATTTACAGGGATCTAGCAGTTCTTCTCTTCTACTTGTAAAAACACTAGCTTAACAATGACAACTACTAACTAAAAAAAATCCTAACAGGTGAAACTAATTTACTCAAGGGGTGGCCATCCTCTACAGTTTGAAAATTGCAACAACAGGTAATCGGTTTCTAATCCAGCCTGGGCTGGGACTTATTTAAATAAACACAAAAATTTATCCTACTCTTTGGTAATCGTTCATTGGACTTTAATAAACAATCAACTCAAAAATTTTTTTACTATAGCTTAATTACCAAAAAGTGGAATTTTACAGAATATTACAAATTTAATTAGACTAACCTTTACAACATTTGTACAGCCGATCTTGTGAACTGCTCTTTCCTCTGGTACAGGGTGGATGTGATCTGACACTTAGGTCTCTGTGACTTCCTAAGGGTTGGCTTGAATTTAACACACGGAAACCAAAAATCCACGGTGCCTATCCTTCCTCGGAACGAAAGCAAAGTTTAGTGTTTGAACGGAAACTTAGTCCCGGAAATCCTTCGCGTGGCGAGTGGGAGACGGCTAGTTGCCAAAGTTTCTACACAGCACAGTGTATTTAATTTTTATTTTATTAGTTTATTAGCTTTGACCGCCTGCGGGAGATGAATTTTTGAGTTAGCGGTACGGCAGAACACAAACTTTTATGATCACTATCCGACGGTAAACCGCGATGGTTCAAAGTATTATTTCACCAGCTCTTCTTGGGGCAAATATCTCTCCGAAACGCAGCGCTCCTTCGACAAATGACCTTACGGCACTAGTAGGAAATTCCACCTGGGGCGGATCCCGAAATTCTGCGCCTTGAGGACTAGGGCAGCACTTTGAATTATATATCCTCGAGAAAACACAACGTATCCTAACGCGATTCACTGCATCCAAAGTAAACTGGGATGAAGCTCAAGGGTTCGCCAAAATATCACCTGATTGGAACCTGGTCTTCTTCGCAAAAAAATCAACGCGCAAAGAAAATAACACTTCGAAACGGGTGCAAAAAGCACGCAACTGCGAGCAACCGAAATAAGCCGGTGGCTCAAACCGCCAAGTGTACCAAAACTATCGCTCAAGGTACGTGTTGACCGCTTGAAGTACTAACCGCGAGTCTCTTCTAAAACGCGATCACTCAAAGTACGTGTTGACCCCTCGACGTACTAACCGCGAGTCTTTTTAAAAACGCAATCACTCAAAGTACGTGTCGACCCCTCGACGTACCAACCGCGAGTCTTTTTAAAAACGCAATCACTCAAAGTACGTGTCGACCCCTCGACGTACCAACCGCGAGTCTTTCAAAAACGATCCCCTTCTTCAGAATTGAAATGAAAAAACCACACCCAAATTACCATAAAACAAAAATGGCTCCCGCTAGAACTTCTCCCATTGGTTCAGATAAATAAGACTTAACCCACTCTAACTTCGTCATTAACCTCAAAGAACTGCTGACCCAACTGATCTCACGGTTTTCTGCTGATGACGTGGAAAGGCCTTATCTGTTGACGGCTCGATGCTACATCCGCTCCTTTTCTCGGTCCAGACGGCGCCAATCGTTGATAAACTAACGACAAACAAACTCGCATTACTCATGATGACGTCAATCAGCTTTGCACTCTTCCCACGACGAAATTAAATCTGAGCGAAATTAAATCTATCGGACCATAGTCTTGAGCGAACCGAAATGCCCAAACACAAAATTTCTAACCGGAACAAATAATGAAATATACAGGGTGACCTGCACTATCATGACAAGAAATTCGAAATTTTTAATGAAATTTGGCGCGAAATAAAACCACTCGTTACAATGGGCTTTGGATTCACCATGCTTTTTTAGTTTTACACGTAAATTACTTAGTTGTGTAGACCGCTTTTCGTTTAATGATGGCCCAACTCTACACTCGCACCATTCTGCAGAGAGATATACTCCTTGCTCTTTGAGTACACCTAAGCCCTTAAAAAAATCTATAATTATTTTGGGTGAAGCCGTGAAGGTATAAGCAAATTTTA